GCTATATAGCGGCGCCGGTGGTGTAGTGGTAAGCGTGATTTCCTCTCACCCCAGAAGTAAAGCCGTTGGTCCCCGGTTCATGAGTTTGATGGGTCGATAGGTAGGGTCCAGGTGTGGTAGCTGCCTCCCTGGCGTCGGTAGCATTGGTGCTCAGCACGGAAAACAAATCAAAAGGAAAAAAAAAAACTCTGCTATGCTCCTTATATTATTAATATTTCTAGCAATTCCCTGACAAATTCTTCTTGAAAAATCACTAGAAGTTCTCCTTAGCATGCAATCAGTATTCTCCTGAAATTACCATAGGAATTTCTTTTAAGTTCTGCTCAGAATTCGCATTGATTCTTTGAAATCCGCCGCATAATTTCATTGGAAATCTCTTTTAAGTTTTCTGAACGTTTTCACCGGAATATCCTTGGAATACTCCTCAGAATTCCTTTGAAGTTTTCATCAACATTTTGTTAGAAATATCCTCGGAATTCAAGAACTATTAATTTTTCTTAAAAATCTAACCTCGAATTAAATTTACAGGGTGGCAACTGAACCAGAAAAACCGGGAAAAAGTCGGGAATTTATTTTCACCAGGAAAAACCGGGAAAAACCAGGAATGTCATAAGTCCACCAGGAAAATAATCTTGTTTGTTTAATTGAAATAGGTTTTAAATTGTATGTATGTCAATGTTTCTTTTTATAATCATGTCAAAACTAACCATTTTGTTCAAGCTAAATCTTTCACACAACTAAACACTGATGAACAAAATTTACCCTGAAAATTTAGTAAATATATTTTGTATTTAATTTTTTTCTTGAATCAATTGCATGTATGATTTGTGCTTAATTGATAGCAGACTTAAGCAGTGCCGATGCGTAACTACTTTGAAGTACCTGTTACACATGTTCAATAAAAAATTGTATTTCTAAAAACTTCAGATAAGGCCTTCGAACTTCATGCAAGTTCTACAAAATTCGGGAAAGTCTTACAAGTTTCAGGAAAATCCTGTGAACTGCTGTGATGACCTACAACGGTCAGGAAATCTCTTCGAACCTTCAGAGAAGTTCTACAAATTTCAGAGAAGTCTTACGAACTTCAGGGAAGTCCTTTAATCCTTGGGAAATAACTACGATATTTACAGAATTTTCTACAGATGTAATGTAACTTCTACGACATTTAGGCATTGCTTAAAACTTAAGGATAATCCTATGACACTTATGGATTTTTTCCGAGCTTCAGAGAAGTCTTCAATACTCTTGGGAAGTCCTCTGAACTTAACACAGTTCTTCAAGCTCAAAAAAGTTCCTCGAACTTCCGAGAAGTCGATTGAACTCGGGTAGTCATACGAAATTCATAGGAGCTCTCCAAACTTCAGGGAATTTCCAAGAAATTAAGGACCACAAACATTTGGAAAAACCCTTCGATATTTAAAGCCTTATGAACTTCAGGGAAGCTCTTCTAAATTTAGGGTCCTTATATATTCAGTTAAGTCCTTCAAACTTCAGGGAAGTCCTCAGATCTTCGAGAAAGTTCTTCGAACTTGAAGGAAGTTTTACGAACTTCTGAGAATTTCTACGATCTTCGTGGTACTTCTACGATATTTAAGAAATTCTCATGAATTTAAAAAAAACTCCGAACCTCGGGGAAGTCCTAAGATCTTCAAAAAAAAGTCCTTCGAACTTTGGGGAAGTCCCATGAATTTCAGGCAATACAAACTTCAATGAACCCTTCAGGAAAGACCTTAACGCTTCAGGGAAGTTCTACGAACTTTAGGGACTTTCTTTTAATCATATGATTTTGAAATCATGTTATAATCAAAATTCCGCTAAATAAGATCCTTAATCGTTGACAATTTGCGGAAAATTTAAACAAACTGGAAATACGTAAAATTGTTAGAAACAAAGGTTTGTTCGAAGGGTCCTCATTCATATCACACTTCGCAATTTCACCTTGAGATAAAATAGCCCGTTGGCTAAAAATCTCAATAATAAAGTTAAAAAAAAACCGCAGTTTCAACAACAAAAATCTCAAGATTTAGGGGCTTATAGATTTCTAAATTTCAGACATTAGACACTCCTAAAATCGCTCATTTTACGGGTTATGGCAAATGTTTCAGTGTCAATCGTAATTAATCTTGTAAGCAAAGATGTTTTTGCAAAAAATATGAGTGAGAACGAAAATAGGCGCCATGATACGACGAAGTAGTGCGGCTCCCTACTAGCTTCTTTACAGCAAACAATCAGACAAAGATTTCACGGGCATTCTCAAGAACCTTAATGCCTGTGTTGGTGTGTGAAATTCCGCATTGCGCGAAGAATAATGGTACAGGGATTCACTTTATTTATTTATTAATAAAAATTGTTTTTCCTGGTTTTAAAATCCATGTATTTATTAAATCATTGACCAGGAAAACCAGGAAAAAACCAGGAATTTCAAAATGGAAATTCACTTGCCACCCTGAATGTAATGCATGGTAATTGGATGTTAATCATTTTCAAGTTAATTTGCATTTCAAATGAAAATGCATAAATGTTTTAAAATAATGTTTCAGAAAAGCTATGCCGCTTTTATTCATTAGAATATCATAATGAGTTTTATTATGTTTACTAGTCAGAATTTATCCTACCAAGAACATAAATAACTGAAGATTATACATTGTTATTGTTTAAATTATTTTTTCAAAGAATACAATCCATAATCCTTTAGCTCAGTCGGTAAAAGTGCTGCTAGGAAGAAAGGCTATGCTGGAGGAAGGTGGGTTCAATTCCCGTTCGGTCTATTAATTTTTCGGGATGAAAAATTTCTCGACTTCCTCGGGTTGGGTATAGGAGTGTACAGGCAGAAAGCTCTCAATTAACATGTGGAATTGCTTCAAAAACACTAAGTTGAGGGCAAGCAAATAGCTAATATGCTATAAGCAATAAGCTTGAAATGCCATTTAGCAGTAATACAAATGGTGTTTTTAAGCAATGAAAACAGTTTTTCATCTGTCGAGGATTAATATTTGAAGTCACGGATCACATTTTAAAAATCTTGTAACAGTCCTGCTTTTTTTTCAAAGTTTTCAAAATGGCGCCATTGCCATGTTTCAAAAAATGTTGTTCGGAAACGGAATTTGTAATCGAAATGACGTTTGAAACAAAGTTGTAGAGAAAAATAATGTCTCTGTGGGAAAAAAGACAAAAACTGTTTTATTTATTTTAATTTTCGACATGTCGATCAGAAGTACCGTTTCCGTGCTATAATTTTTTGATAAATTTCAAAGACGCCAAATTTTACAAGATGAAACAAAAAAAAAATGTTAACCATTGCACAATTATAAAAGTTAAAAGTTTCATGCGGATCGGAGAAGGTTGAGTTTTCGTCATTTGGCGTGGAACTGTTCCAATGTTTCTTGTTCTTCTTCTTCTTCGCATTTCAAGCTTATCGCATATCACATATTAGCTTATTGCGTGCTCTCAACTTAGTGTTCTGGATGCACTTCCACAGTTATTAATTGAGAGCTTTCGATGCCTGTACCATTTTTGCATTGGTATAGTTGTGTGGCAAGTCCAATCATACTGCTATGCCCAGGGAAGTCGAAAAATTTTCCAACCCGAAAAATTTCCAGACCGGACCGGGAATTGAACCCAGCCACCTCCAGCATGGTCTTGCTTTGTAGCTGCGCCTTTACCGACTGAGCTAAGGGAGGCCCCTATTTCTTGGGAGTGGTTCAATTTTCAAAGGAATGAAAACCCACAGAGATGATTCAAAACAATGCAAAAACGGCAAAGGAAGTCATATGTTTTTGTCAGTTCATACATCCGTTTTCGACATCCACACCACGGGATGCTAAGACAGTTACGAGCTTAGTAAAATCAAACTATTTTTTTTCCTTGATTTGTTTACCGTCGATCTTTTTTTCCGTGCTGAGCACCAATGCTACCGACGCCAGGCAGCTCCCACACCTGGACCCTACCTATTGGACCCATCAACTCATGAACCGGGCCCAACGGCTTTACTTCTCTAGCGTGATCAGAGATGTTATGCCTCAGGAAATCCCGGCGGCGCTTACCACTACCCTACCGGCACCGCTAAAAAAATCAAACTTATTGAAATAAGATGAACGTATACAGTTTGCAAAATAACATCCGTTAATCTGCAAATTAGCATGGTTATTTCCCACCTTTGGGGTCTCCCTTAGCTCAGTCGGTAAAGGCGCTGCTAGCAAGACCATGCTGGAGGCGGCTAGGTTCGATTACCAGTCTGGTCTAGAAATTTTTGGGGTTGATAAATTCACGACTTACCTGGGCATGGAGTATGATTGTACTTGCCACACATTAATATTAATGCAAAACCCGCACAGGCTTAGAAAGCTCTCAATTAAAACCTGTGGAAGTGCGCAAAGAACACACTAAGTTGAGGGCCAGCGTAAAAGTTCCAGTATAGGGACATAATAAAGACAAAGAAGAGTTTTTCCACATTTCTTCATTCCGATAACCAATGATCTGGCAAAAACAATCATAATCCTCTACTAACGAGTTCTCCTGATTCGCATTGTTCTGCCGCCAGTTGCTCCTACAATCGATTCAATTTTCTGTTCGGAAGCAGAATCTAACAAAGCAAACAGATATAGGAAGCATTCCACGCAATCCAGCACATCATGAAGAGGGGGGAAAAAGATCAATACTATCATCCAGTGGAAACCAGAGAATGACAATGGTATACGGTTTGTTGATTTGAAATGCACATGTGTGACTGCAGATTTTTCATAACTTCGTAGCTAAAGTTATGAAGTTATTGCCTTCCCATATCACTTCTCCCCGGTACCGGATTCTCCACGTCGACGTTGGAAGATGTCCCGCATGCATACTTCGGATTGCCTCAATTTGCTTTCTTTGTGTCCCCGAGTGCTTTGGCTCACACAAACAGTTTTCTGTGTCAATGGAACTGCGAACGAACGCATAAAAACATTTTCGCTGCTCTTATGAGTCCTGGAGAAAACTTTTACATGAAAGCGACGGCGGAGCAATGCGAAGGGGAGAAATCCATTTCCAGCGTGTAGATGCAGCTTCCTCCTCGACAGCGATTTTCTTGCATCTGCAAAGAGTTGTTGGATGCCAGTGTGCTATAACAGGGAAAAACAAAACATATCATCATTCTTTGCCTTTATCTCCACGGGGAGAGTCATTGATCTACTTTCCACGTCATATATCCTCATGTACGTAACACCAGAACAGCTACACATCAGAAAAACGGTGGCACCGAAAATTGCTCCCTTTTCATGCAGACAGTTAGACACCGATGACATCTCCAGCACAGGTTAAAAGCAATTTCGGAGTGGGGCAACCTAGTGAAAACTGGCAGCTTGTGCAAATTGGAACAGACAGATTTATTTTAAGAGAGCAAAAAGGGGTCAACTTTCGTGCATGACTTCACCCCTACTTTTGTTTTGACGAAGGAAGACCAGGTTCCAGAGAGTGGGCAGTCACTTGTGATGGAATTTAATCAAGGTTGTTACTGTCATAAATTTTAGATCCCCGTTTCGGCATGAATCCACTTGCGAACGTACGCCACCCTTGCATACACCCCAGCACACCGAGCTTTCCGACAGTATTTCGCATTCTTCCCACCCCAGGACGTTATCCCGACAAGTTTCCGCTCATCCACCAGTGGTCCTCCGGAATCCCCCTGGTAAGCAAGTTGACCGTCGACATATCCGGCACAAAGCATCCGATCGGTTATCTGGAAAGCGAAGCCCTTGTACGCCTTACGACATTCGTCCTGATTAACGGCTGGAATCTGCACTGCTCGTAGGATTTCACGAGATTCCAGTTCGGTCATCGTCAGTCCCCAACCGGAAAGCTGTAGACACGTCCCATCTTCAACTGGTTCCAACGACTTCGGAAGATCTACCGCATAAAACGCATCCGTCAAATTCAGTTTCTTCTCCAGTTTTAATAGTGCTACGTCGTAATCCGCTCGACGAACGTCAAACTTCGGATGAACTCGACAGGTGAAAACATCAATCACTTCACCACCCTTGGCTTGGAAGTTGGAAGCAATCCGAATCTTTAGTCCACTCAGCGTAACATTCGGTTGCGGCTGAACGCAATGGGCTGCCGTTAGGATCCACCGGTCATCGATGATGACACCGCCGCATAAGTGTCGATCGCCTTTCAACAGTGCCACTTGGAAGGGTACTTCCGTAATGTCAACCAAGAAGCCACCGATTATGCGACCATCGGATTGGACCAGGTAGGCGAAAGTAGTCCCGATGAGATGGATGCCGATTATAGTCGGAAGAATAGCGTACAACGAGATCATAGTCTTTTGAAATGGAAAACTGAACTAGTTAGAAATTGAGTTCTTGCCAGGCATCACGACATTGTTTACCTATTACTGATTGTATTTAACGAGGTACAGCTGCATTACAAAAAGTGATGAATTACCAACAGTGATGAAGTCGGAAAAATAAGTGTAGGGTTTTTGATCTAATTTCCGTCCTACTAAGCACAGCCCGCGCTTTACCTCTCTTTTCTGAACGAGTTTAGACAAAAATTGGAATATTTCTGTCAAATATGACTTCTAAATTGATTCACCTTTCCATAGGTACCGTTGGATTTGAAAAAGAGTCACAAATTGTTGATATATTGTTTGAAATCTAATACTGCTTCTTGATCTAAATTCGTTGTACGAGTTTCAATTCCGTTCTAACGCATTGAAACGCCATTGGGGCTGTTCATAAACTACGTAGACAGTTTAGGGGGAGGGGGAGGGGGGGTTGACAATTACTCACAGGCCATATAAATTTAAAAAAAAATTGTATGGACAATTGTCTACGCAGGGGGAGGGGAAGTCAAGAATCCCAAAAAAAAACCTGTCTACGTAGATAATGAACAGTCCCTTAGATTTTCTGCGTCCTACGGATAAACGTAGAAAAAGGGGATACTCTAGGAGCGCTTCTTTTGATTAGAGAACAATGAGCGTAAATATTCATACCCTTCACTCTACTAAAGAGTAATACTAAAAAAAGAAAAAAAAAACGAAGAAGAAAAACGTAAGAGGTTGTATCAAAGACACGACAGTAGGATTACGTGCTCGGTAAACCACTTTTTCCCATCACGGAAACGCCTCGTTTTCTGATGACAAAATTACACATTTTCGAGCACAAAACGCACGTAATTTTTGGATGGATTTAGATTTTGAATAGATAATTAAGAAAAAGCGAAAATTTATTGGAGCAATTTTTTGCTAAAATTTTCCAATCGCGAGATATTCGCAATCAATCATATAAATTTGAGATGTTTTTGCTTCGGGAGAAAACATTACCTTAATTCTAAGTGTTTCCGGTTAATTGAAAAGGTCATGTGGTATTCGGTCATTGCGAGAATTTGTATCTATCACTTCAATACTGTTACGCATTTGACCACACACGTTTGGCAAGGCGAGCGAACGTTCAATGAAATTAACTCTTAAACAACAATAATTTATGGTGATGATCACATCATGTGCTGAGCACCGTGGAGTCAGATCCGAGTTGTACAATTCCCTTCGGGCTCGAGGTAGACAACCTAATGTCCCAGTTCGGGATATTTTAGCTAGACGCGATCTGGAGTTTATGCAACTCATATATGTTTTCTTTAAGAATATTAACCATAAATTGTAAGTTTGATTAACCTTGTGTTTAGTTTGTATTCTGTGTGTGTGTGTGTATGTTATTTTTTTGTATATTTGTTTCTGTAATAATTTTATAATTACAGAATTGATATAACGTCGATAAGATTAAGTTTATATTTAGAAAATTTTAGTTAAATTTTTGAATCATAAATCATATTCCAAGTCTCCTTTTCCCTCTCCCGATCCAAACAATTGTCATCCACTAACCTCGAGAAGACCGCGAGTAATCGATCAAATCCTTTAATTTTAGATTTAAGACATTTATAATGTATAAAGAAAATGATAACTTGGCTCTGTAAAGTTTATTCGATTGAGCCTGTACGAATAAAGTAATTAATTTTTTATTTAATTTTGACGAACAACTGAATCCGATCAGTAGCGGTGCAGCTTCTTCCTCCGTCTTCGGTGATTGAGGGTAGCCCTTGATAGCTAGCTGCTTGCGGGGAGCCTTTCATTGTGTACTGGAGAAAAATGAAAAACGCCACGTGCCGAAAGCACTGCTGCTGCTGCTGCTGTTGATGACGACCGTACACCACCACTCACAACACGCAGTGATTGAATAAACACCGTTCGGCGAGACTGGATGCAATTCGATTTTGCAATCTGTGTTAGGGAAAGCGCTTTTCGCAGGCAATCGGCGATAGTTTTAATTATCATAGCAACAGTTGCACATTCGTGCAATTTTCAATAATGACCTATTAAAAATTGATAAAGTCTTAATTTTAACAGATTCGTACAAAAATTTCCTATCGATTGACGTATTAAGAATTAAAAATGCCGCGACCGGCTTTGATTTTAGAAATTGCACCCCCAATGTTGGCTTAAAAATACATGGTATGTTAGATTTAAACTTATGGGAACTGACATCCTATAGATGAGCTGGCGCCGGTGGTGTAGTGGTAAGCGTGACTGCTTTCTCATCCCAATGAGTCTGGGTTCAATCCCAGTCGAGGTCGGTGGGATTAATTACTTCTGCGGCATAAAAATCTCTGGTCACGTTTTCCTTCGGAAGGAAAGTAAAGCCGTTGGTCCCGGCCCATGTGTGTTGAATGGGTGCGATATTCTACGCAGATGTGGAAGCTGCTTTCCTGCACATTCCATAGCCGCCAATGGATGGCAATCGATGTCCGTCGGTGATTGGCACTAGATTACGAGAGACCGACGTTAAATAAAGGAAAAAATCCGATTGATGACCTTGACAAATGTCCACTTTAAAAAATGTATGGTGGTCCTGAAAAGGACCGTTTTGTCAAACATATGCTAAACACAAATTAGAATGTTCAACACATTTGAGGCTGGCGAGCTGTTTGTTGGCATAGATGGCCCACAGCGACTCACTAAGCGCTAATGAATCTGATCAGTAGCGGTGCGGCTTCTTCCTTCCTGCCTTTCGTTGTGTACTGGAAAACAATGTTCAACACCACCCGCCGAAAGCACTGCTGCTGCTGATGACGACCGACCGGACACCACCACGAACGGTGACCGGATGGAATTCCATTTTGAAATCTGTGTTAGGGAAAGTGCTTTTTCCAGGCAATCGGTGATAATTTTGATCACCATTGCAACTGCTGGACATTTGTGTAATTTTCCATAGTGACCTATTGAAAATTGATAGTGTTTATTTTAGCAGATTGGTAGAAAAATTTCCAATCGATTGGCTAGTTTAGAATTAAAATCCATCCGCTATCGATAGAGTTATAAGTGATTAAAATCAGACCACTTTCCGTAATGCGGTCGATTGTGTTTTTTTTAAATTGCACAGAAAAACAAACAAACAATAGTGTCGTACAACGAGACCAGTGCTTCTTGGCCGGCTCAGCGTTCGAGACGAAATGGATGATGTCGAAGCTGAACGTAGATAAGACAACTGTCTTCCTCTCTTCATTCTTTTGATCGCAGAATAGTTCGGCGATGAATGAGTATACCTTTAGGCGAATTGTAATATCGATTTGCTGGTTCATAGAGTAGAGAACTACTTTGGCCTAATCGCCCATTGTTGGCCTATTGAGCAGAAAACTTAAAATAAATCCATGATTTCAGAGTTAACAAATCAATTATGCATTTAGTACGATACTTTAGTTAATAAACTACCGAACGAAGTCAATGAGAACGCGTTTGCACCCATTATTCCGAAAAACAAAGGAAGCGCTCCGATCGAATCAATTTTTTATCTTCATCCGATAGGCCGAAGTGAATTCATTGGCGTTTCAATGCGTTAGGCCGAGTTTAGAATCCGTAGGCCGAGTTTGGCGTCAAGAAGCAGGGTTAGACTTTTGACAATATCTCAACGATTGGTTTCTCTTTATAAAATCTTATCGTACGTACGGGAAGGTAAATAAGTTTGGAAGCCATCAGTAATAATAAAATTCCGTTTGGTGCTAAACTGCGCTAGATTAAGAAAGACTAAATGCGGGTGTGCTTAATAGGCTGGAAATGGGGTAGTTAACCCTACCTTTAGGCAAATTATAACATCGGAAATTTAACCAACGACAACTGAGCGTTTCACCTTCTTGGTTCATTCGCGAAGGTGAACACGCTATGGCTGTTTGCTGAAGATGGTGTTTTCCTATCTTTCACAAAATGTAACGGTTTAGTAAAACAATCAAACATGTACATACATACGATTTGATAAAATTAATTACCTGTTGCATGAACAGGTTGGACATGCAGACGAGAATTCCGAAGAATCTCTCTTGTGCTTGTGGTGTCACAGAGTGTTAATATACCATAGGAAACCCAATGTCATGACTTGGTAGGAAACACACTTGCGACCATATAGGGTTAAGATCAAATTTCCGTCATATTTAGCAAAACGCACTTTTACCTTGGTTTTAACAGAAAATTGAACGTTTCCATTCCACATACCGTTAGATAAGATTTAGATTTACAGATTAAAGAATTATGCCGGAGTAGTTCTCTACCCTAGTCACTTGGCTAGGATTTCCACTGAACCTTATCTGAGATTTCTTGATTTTGCCGGACACCTCAACATTATTACTGATTCTGTTGAAATTTCCTTGAATCTGAATTTTAGATGCCGTGATAACAGGCAATTTAAAGGACTTTTCGGATATAAGAAAAAATAACTTCCCACATTTCAAGCGCAGCTCAGTCGACTTCAGTGGAAAATATTTAGGGAAACAGTTGCGCTTGCGCCCAATAGTAAACTTAAAGCTTTCGATTGGAAGTTTTGTTGAAGCTCGTTTTGTTGCGCGGCTTCACTATGTTGCAAGGTTGCTCTTAAGAATGTATTGTCAAATTTACATTCACAGAAGGAACTTTTAGAATACATCAATTAATATTGAATTGTTAACAAATTGAAATTACACAGCAACAGATTTGAGCTTTCTTGTCATTGTGAGATTAATTGTACATGGGAAGAAGGCTTATAACCATAATCCCATTTCATAATATTTCGCTACGATTCCGATTTCTAGCATCATCGAGACATGTATTAAAGTCAACTATTGAGATATTCTCTTAAGATCAATTTGATACCAATTGAAATTACACAGCAACAGATTTGAGCTTTCTTGTCATTCTTAATTGTACATGGGACGAAGGCTCATAACCATAATCACATTTCATAACATTGCACTATGATTCCGACAACTATTGAGATATTCTCCTAAGATCAATTTGATACATTCACTAATACCACATCACAGCTCCAGGACTTGTCCTAGGAGCACATTTAAAAAAAAAATATTTTCGTTTTTTTTTCTAAAACGAGATTTGAATCCATGCTACTAACAGTTCTTTGGAATGACCCCTGTCGCCGTACCATCTGAGCTAATTTTTCTTCACACATGTTTAGTTTTGTTGCGCTTTTACCGAATAATTATT